CGCTAGGCTATATAAGCCGGGGGGGAGGCCCAGCCCCAGCCAAACCCTAGCCGCCCCTAGCGCCGCCCGCCGCCCCCAGCACTGCCGCCACCGCACGCCGCCCGAGGTCCGCCGCCGCCTCGATTTCTGTGCCGTTTTTTTTATTTTTTTCGGAAAAACTGTTCGGTTTTTCCGTTAGTTTTTTTTATATAGTTCGGTTTTTTTAAAAAGATCGGTTTTCCGGTTTATTTAAACAGCGAGCGTTCGTCCGTTCGTTCGTTCTAGCGAACGTTCGTCGTTTTTCTTTTTCTCGGATTTAATTCGCGATTTTTCTAATCGCGATTCCTGATCCGATTTTCTTTTTAGTATAACTTTTCGCTCGTTTATCGGAATCAGGCGATTCAAGCGCCTGGAGTTTCGTCTCGAAACCCTCTATCCGTTTAACCAAATTAAACAAGTTTTTGCTACTATAAAATTTCCCTTAGATCCAGATTAGTAGAATGAAGTTGTTTTCTTTCGCCGTTTGACTTTTGTTGCTTCGTTCGATTTGATTCTTTTTGCAAAACGGAGTTTTTAATTTGAACCTTCTGGTTAGATCTCTTATTTGAGTTTTACCTGTGCATTAGATGAGTACTTATTGTATGCTTGTTTGTTGTTTGCGATAGAGTACCCGGAGTGCGCCGCTTGTTACTTCGAATAGCTAGGTTTCCCGGATCATCAGCAAGGCAAGTAACACTTTGATCATACCTCCTACTACCCAGTTTTATTGCATTAGATCAATCCTCAAACATTGCATGATTAGGATCTAATTAAATTGTGGGATGGGAAGTAGTTGAGGTAGTACCTATTACCTGTTTATTATCAAACCTTTGGGAGTTACTTCTACGTTTGATTATTATGCCATGCTATGCTAGTAGACGTGGATTGGGTGAGTGATATCCATGACAAATGTGAGTATTGTTAATTAATGGTTTATCTAAGGTGGCAACTTAAACACACATCTGGGTGGATTGAGGCACCTGAGTATTCCAGGACTTGCCTGTTTTCTTTTGGACCGCCACCCAGGCTCAAAGGGATCATGAGACTATTCATACTAGAAACTTCCGTGTGCAGCCACAAGCTATTATGGGCTCTAGCATAGTTGACTAAGTCGTGCGAACTCTTACAGTGGTAGACTAGCAGATGTAGGGGATGTAGGTGGTACGGTCTACCCGATCGTAAGGTGCTAGCGCTTCTGAAAGACTATGTTTCGGTCATCCGTCTTTTCAAACACCATGTAGTGCGAGAAACCAAACGGAGGCGATCGAGTCTTGTGGGGAAAAGTGCGCAAATCTCTGCAGAGTGTAATAAACTAATCATGGTTAGCCGTGTCCCCGGTTATGGACATCTTGAATATGTAGTACTTGGATTATCATGTGAATCTCAACATGTTACCCTAAATTAATTTTGTTGGGTTTTGTTAATGATGATGCTTAATTGGGATTGAGAATGTTGTCAACCATTCTCAATGTTTAACAAACACCATGATAGTAATTAAATTTATTCCTTTGAAGTAGGGAAAAATTGGCTTTACGCAAAACTGTAACCATAGAGCTTTCCACCAACCAAATATGCATATAGTATAGCTGTTTCATTTCATTATTCTTTATGTGTTACCTTGCCAGCATATTCCATGTGCTGACCCGTTTCGGGCTGCAACGTTAATGTTGCAGACTTTTCAGACGACGATTAATGAGTTTTTAGGTCGTGGTTCTATACTCAGTGATGTCGTTGAAGTTGATGGACTCACTTATCTTCCAAGCCTTCCGCTGTTAACGTTATAGATGGCCTTAAGCCATATTTGTTGTAATAAGTTCTCTCTTGAGACACTCGATGTAATAAGTGTGTGATTGCTACTCTGTTATAAATCCTCCGAGTACTGTGTGGTGTCAGCATTACTGATTCAGGGGTGACACCGAAGTATAGAGATCAGATTGTTTGAGGTCTGGTCGTTACACCCTATATAGTTGGAAGGAAGGAGTAGATAAACTGCATAGACAGATGTTTTTACGTCTAGTGAATTTTCTAAATAAGAATTGTCATGTAAAATAATTGAGTATAATTAGTAATATTAATCAGGTTCCATATTCCACTCACGAACGAATCAGGCTACCCTATGGGTGAAGACAATAACCCAAACCCCATCCGGGGTGGGTGTCCATGGTTACAGGAACCCATGGGCTGGATTGCCATCTCTAAGATGATGGTGCTACCTGATGCCAACAGAGAGATTACCTTCCTGGCAATGCCGAACTGTACAGACGCATTGGAATCTGAGTTTGAAGCCTAGCGTGAACATATTTGCTATTCAGCACACCCGATTATTATTCTTGAGTTGGACCGTGGGGTGGAAATTTTACATATTTCATCTAATGCTCATGTTTGGTCGTGGTATGTGAACATCATTAACGCGGGTGGAAGTTTTCATCAATGATGATAAAGAGATTAAGTTTGTAAATGTAGGAGGCAAAGCTAGCAGAATAAGTTTAGCCTTGAACTATCATCTTTTGTGAGAATTCATGCTACGGCCATGGTCTTGAAGCAAACTTTCGCCTCGCTTTGTACATAAAGCAAATCATCATATCCCAACATCATGTTCATGTGTTAGATTTTTTAAAGATCTACAGGGGCAACAACACAGGCATGCCCAAACGAGAAAACAAAAAGAAAGAAAAAGAATACAAGGCTCCACGAAGCCGACTACTCGCGGCGAAGAGGCTAAGAAAGTGGCATTCTGCTGCAGTGAGAACATCGATCATCACCCCCTCCCCCCCCTGCGCGCGCTTGCTTCCGGTCCCGCTGCTCATGTGACAACTGCAATATGCCTAATGCTTGATAAGCCCTCTATTTTCCTGCAAAAAATGAATTCCCTCTGGGCATGTTGTCAGAAAAAAAAACAACGGAAAAACACTCCAGGATATATCCATAACTGCTACCTATTCCATTGACCTACTGCACAAATGAAGATTAACTAAACTAACCAGAGTTGCCAAATGTCATCATTTGGTTATGTCAGCGGCAAATGTCACCATTTGGTTATGTCAGTGGTTGAGAAACCTAGCTAGTTGTAATTGTTAACCTACGAGACGACTGTCTAACAGGATGAAAGGGCCATCCGAACAATTGCCATATATGGTTTGGATAAGAACAATGGCCATAAACAATGGAAAGCATGACATGAACCTAGATCACGAACGATTTTGATCTATTTGGATATTCCAGTGTACCGTGTTATGCATGACGCCATACAGAGATGATTACGATTGGCGACTAGTTATGTGACTAATCTAAAATTAGTTGCATAACTGCCGTCCTTGAAACGCTCAAAAAACTCGGAATATATTTTACTTCTAGCGTTGCGTATATACTAGCGACCAATTCCCTGCTCAGCCTCCAAGAATATAAGATACCAGCAATATAGCTCAAAGCTTGCAGACGAGCTAAGCTACCTTATAGTAGGTGACACGGCTAGAAACTAGCTAGAGCAGTTCGTCGACCGGCCATGTCGATATCCTCTAGCTCCAACAAGACGCTGCCCTACTCGGCGGACGGTGGCAGCTACAGCACCCACGACACGCTCGCCCTCCTCGTCATCGGCTTCAGCGTCACCGCCGTCTGCGTCTTCATAATCGCGCTGTTCGATTGCCTGTGCTGCCGCCCGCGCCGCGCCGGCGGCCGCAGGATCGTCTTCGTGGGCGCCCGGCCGTTCTTGGTGCGTGCCGGCGGCGACGGTGGGCTGAGCCCCACGGCCGTGGCCGCGCTGCCGTCGTTCTTGTACCACAGAGGCTTGGCCGTCCGCGGCAACGGCGATTCGGACGGTCGTGGCGAAGGCAGCGGCGGTGGCCGCGGGTGGGCGCAGTGCGCGGTGTGCCTCAGTCTGGTGAAGGAAGGGGAGGTGGTGAGGCAGCTGCCGGCGTGCATGCACCTGTTCCATGTAGGCTGCGTCGACACCTGGTTGCACTCCCACTCCACTTGCCCTCTGTGCAGGGCCACGGTAGAGCCCCCTTCGAAAGACCAGGTGCCTCCTGTGTGATTACTGCGAGATTTGCACAGAGTTTTCTGTGCTATGTAGCATGTATTTTTGTACACATCAGATGTAGAAATTGCTGTGCTGCGAGTGCGTACCAAGAATTCTGCACCAAACTAGTTTCACCTGTTATGTTCTCTACTTTTTCTCTGGATGTCGTTCATGCTTGAATGTAGTTTGGGGATGAAATGGTTGATCCAGACTGATTGGCCCTGACATAAAAGTCCCTTATTGGTTCTTGAAATTGACTTGTAATAGAGAAATCATCTTCATAGTCAACGTGCTTTCGTTTATTCTAATCCTTTTTTTTTTTTGCAAGAAATCCCGATTGAGGACAACACTATTGGTCTATCTCACCGGGGTTGGTGTTGACCGCAAATGCTACATGCCACCCGTGGCAGCATATAAGCGGCGGATAACCCATAGGCGATTGGGATTGGGATTGCGGCTTAGTTGGCGGTGTTTTCTTTTTGCGAAGATACATAAACACATTTGACTGGTTCTTGAGATTGACTTGTAATAGAGAAATCGTCTTCATAGTCAATGTGCTTTCTTTGGTTTTTCGAAAAAATCCCGGCTGAGGCCTATCGTGTTGGTTGACCACTCCGGGGCTGGCACTGATCCAATAGGGATTAAACGGGCTTCGTCTTGTAGGAATTTGGAATTTTGCATTTTTTATTAGGATCACGTCGAAGACTTAGTAGAACTCACCCAATAATATTGTGTGCACACAACTACATTACGAGATCTTATCAATACAAAGAATGAAGAAATACCCTATAATAGTGTCTGCTGCCTGCCCACCATGATATTGCACATGATTCTTCGTGCAAATTTCAGAACACATAACCAGCCCTTGTAGCATGATGACTTGGGGCTTCCACGATCGACGTTGACCAAAGGAGGCATGAAGCCCTCCAACAAAGTTAGGACTTTTACCTTGGCCAAAAGCACCCTCCCGTTCCCCTATCTCGAGAGGGAGCCTTGGCCCAGTCCAAAATATCCACACCCAAAATAGTGTGGAGTAGATCGCGAGGGGGAGGGGGGTTGTACTCACGCCTAGGAAAGCACGGTTTTAGACTCCGCTTGCGATTTTGTCACCGGATTCCCGATCTTGATCTCTCCCGCTCGGCCTGACCAGGGGGATGGCTTTGTCCACCTGCCTAGCCTCGACGGGGAGTTGTTGTTAGGAGCACGAGAGTTGGCTCAAATTAGATTTCAACCAAGGATTCGATGGGGGATAAAGGGAATAAGGTGCATGTCAACCTCAATGATCTGCAAAATATCTGGAACTAGAAGACAAAGAGGTAGACGACGTTTTTTCTTGTAAAGTCTTATGTTGATCATCCGAAGGAGGACCAAGAAATGTGTTGGATGGAGGTTTCTATGGTGAAGACTATGAAGACCTTTAGCGTCAATTGATTTTACCGCTCCATGGTATATACTTGGAGTTTGGCTCGGGTCTTTTCATTCTGTCCGGTCAAGGAAAATCAATTAATACTAGAGATGAACTACAAGGGGACTACAAACGTGTCACCAAGGAAGGGCCATGGACTTTTGCCAATTACGGGGTTATGGTCGAGACATATGATGGTTCTACAAACCTGCGATCAAGTTTGTTAGAATTTAGGCATAGGAACAAATTCATGAGATCCCACCTCTGTACTTCAAGGAGGGGTGGTGAAACAGTTAGCTCAGAGGGTCGAGACGCAATGTCCATGGAGACAAGCCCATCTTCACCAACAGGGAAGAATTATGTGTGGGTTTGTGTACAATTGAAGGTGCAAGATTCACTAGCGAGGTTTATTGTGCTCACATCAGAAGATGAGCAGAGACAAATACTTCATGTGCTCTATGCAAGTAAAAGAAGTTGTGAGGTACGTAGCGTCATTGGGTATAGTTCTATGGAATGCGGAGATGGAGTGCACAATGATGAGGACTTGCAATACGAGGATTGGATGATATCGAACCAAAGATGCATCCACCAGGGGCGTGTATGGTCGAGATTTCTGCCCGTGGTTTGCACGGAAGCGGTCCGGATGCTAGAAGAGATGATTGATACATCATAATTGTGTGTGTGTATACATACATACATACATACATACATCAAAAATAGTTTCATGCCACCAGGGATAGATGCCACCCACGTAGTCACCGTACAATCAAGGAGCTTTGAGATTCGTGCTGGCAGGTTAAGCTAGTTGTTTGATGAAAGACATACAGAAAACGAGCATTACTCACAGGTAGGTGTCAGTACTAGCATTGCGGATAAACAATGCCAAGTAGTCTCACATAAAAGTTGTACGTACAATCTTGGCTTTTATTTGAAGTTGCATGCACACATTTCAGGGGTATCATATAAGCTTCTGTCAGCGCATTCAGTTCATATTTTGCAAGCAGTACTGGAGGATCCCATTTTACACAATGAAGCATATGACAAAAAAGTAGACAAGATGAAAGCTAAACATAATGTACATGTATAGAAAGCTAAATTGCCCGTATGCGATCAGCGTGCACAAGCACTGTTGTCTTACCAATGCTTGTTTTTTGGATTATTCAGCTACTAAGAACTTTTTTCCGGTGCTCAGTGCAAGCAAGCATATATGGTTAAAACACTCTCACAACTGACAAGAAATATGTCTATCAATGTCTGCTCACTGACCTGTCCATGAAAAACAATATGCCAGCCCTTCCTCGGCCCTGATTCTTTTGATCTGACAGCATCATCCCATGCCAGGAAAGAAGAAATGTACTAATTGCATTTCACTACTTATGCATTGTTGATTAAGAAGGTAACTATTCGCATGTTGCACACTCTCTAGGAGGGACGAACGGTAGATACCCCGGGGCGGCTATCCCCCGTGGCATCAAATCCCCCCCACACACCTATTAACAATTTGAAGTGAAATGCGTATTTATCATAATACAGAAAAACCAGATAGAACTCTGGATGAAGTTTTATGCCAGAATGGACCTCTTTCAAAAGGGTGGACCACATGCGTCCTAGGTATAGGGCAAGTTCCTAGGGTGTGTGGGGCCTACAAGTTTCCTCTTTCCTGAGATTTCATCTCACTGGCTCATAAATACCCTAAAAACTCCCTCAAACTTATGTTGTACTTTTTTGACGCCACAACCTCACGATCTGAGGAAAAAATCTATCTGCAGCCATGTTTGAAACTCT